AGAAATCGAGAGAGGAAAGTGCAATAAAGTCACTGGACGAGAGAAGATTCTGACCCAAACAGAATTTTTTTTTCCTAGATCGAGAATTTAGGGGATTTTTTTTAAAGTTTGAAGAAAGAGAAAGTTTAGGGGAAAATTGAAAAAGGAAACTAAATAATAGGCGTACAGTGTGAAAATAAGAATAATTATAGGGTTTAAAGTATAAAATATTAATTCTTTGAGGAGTATAAGAAATTGATCGTTGAGGGAAAGAATTTTGTCCCATCGAGAGACGTGAACCCTTGGCTCATCTAAATATTCCGACCGGAGTTTTTAACCGGTTCAAATGTTCACAGGTTGAACCGGGATTTTATTATTCTAAATAAAATGCCGACTTTCATTTCACGTTAGACCAAATATTTTATTTCTATTTATAACAGCACTTTCATTAATGGTTTACCATAAACTTTTCGATGAATTAGTAAACAAATATTTCAAAATTAATTATCGATTATTTTGACCATGTTTAAGATTTTATTGTTTATTGATGTTTGTTTGTACGTTTGTTAAGTTTGACATGTTCTTTGTTGATATAGTTTTTTTTTTTAATGATCATATAAAAAATCATAATTATTATTTTTTGTCATTCAAACATCATTAAATTCTATCTTGTATGATGAAAATAATCATTTTATGTTCTCGAAAGTTGATATGGCACACACCAAATTGGATATAATGTCAACTTGGTATGCCATATCAGCTCCACATCACCTTTTTTTTTTTATATAAGGGATGAGGTGGTTGTGGTGGTTTAGAATGATAGTTTGAGGAAGAATGTAGAGTGATCTAGTGATGATATGGCATATGAAGTTGACATTTTAATTGATTTGTCATGCTACATCATTTTTCGATATCAAAAAATTATTTTTTTTGACAAGTCTAATTTTACAACAATACGTGGTGATGTTTTTTAGATGATAATATTAAATGGAATACGAAAGATTACTAATCAAAGCATCGCTAAGAGTTCTGTCTTTTGGAAGCAGTAAGGATCAGAGAAGATAAAACCGATCTTTACTTCTATGGAGTCTTTAACTTACATGATATAAAAGTACATCGTCTAATAACTTTGATTGATACAAATCAAATTAATTAAACCATTAAATTACGATGTTGAATGATTAAAAAGGAGAGATGCGTTTAAATACATCTAAAGCTAATTTGTTGAGCACTACAAATTGAAAATAAATCTTTAACCTAACGATGTATGTTTCAATTTTTTTTCTATTAATATTCTATTAAGACTTTGTTTCTACAAAAACATTGGACTATAATAAAGACTTTGAAAGTTGAATATTATTTAGTTGTGACAATTAGTAGTACGTGTGCCACCGACAATTGAATGTGATGGATTACTCACCAATTTGTACACACTATTTACTACAAATGGAATTTTAATATTCATATTCTTTTAACATTCCTTTTTCTAAACAAAAATCAAATTCCATAAAATTATCACATATTCTTCCAAAATTCCATGTTCACATCTAAATTTAATAAAATAAAGAGGGCCTTCAAATTGCCTTTTTTTTTTTTTTAATTCCATACATCTTATAAAATACTTGTAATATTAATGGTGGAATTAAAAAAAATAAAAATATAAAAAGGTAATTAGACCAAAACAAAATTAAGGAGATTCAATAATATTATATATACATAAAAAAATAATATTTTATATAGAGAGAGATGAGCCGTCTTACAATGCCCTAGCTCCATCCCCTAATAATGGTGGAAAATGAGTGTACTTACTTGCCATCATCGATAATAGAGATATATATCATAGAAGTTACGAATTGGACAAAATTTAGTAGCATAAATCCGATCTTTATAGTTGTTTTTAAAATTTGTTTGAATATTTCTTTTCTTGTCCTTTTATTTTGATAAAAAAATAATAGAAAATTCTTATGTTTTCATTATTCTTTTGTCTTGTATAAAGACAAAATTAGTCTCACATTGATCAGAAACAACTCTTTTTTTCTCTTCTTGTATTGAATTAATTTTTTGTTGAGCTCACGGGTAATTAATAAAATAGAATAATTTTGCATACAAGAGAAATAAGATCAAAGGCAAAATGGATCGATTTGCAAACCTCTCCATACGGGATATATATGATGCCTAATCTAAAAATAATTTTGTGCCTACTAAAAAAATGTCTTAGTTTATTGCCTATAAAAGGAGTTGTCTTTTGTGAAGTTTTTACTTTCGGTTATGAGTGCATGTGTTTGAAAGTGATTGTGAAATCTCAACAATAATTTACATTCTAGTTGGGTCGAAATAAAATTGTTTTGAGATATTTTTTATTATATAGTTTGTTATTATTTTCCTTTTTTTTTTTTTTCATAATCAACATTTTAATATTTTTCTAACAAAAAAAATGTATAAATAATCTATCAAGAACCTAATAAACAAAAAAAAATTATGGTTCAAATAAATTTAAAATTCAGAATCTGCTTCTCGCCAATAAACCATCCAACTGTAATAATAACAGTATTAAAATTTGAAAGTCAATTAATTTCCGATAATGTAATTATAAATGTGATATTAATATGGTCTTTTAAATATATAACAAGTTCAATTTTTTAAAAATAAAATTAAAAATTTGCTTAAATTTAATTCTGAATTTCACCATTCTTTTTCTAAAAAAATAAAGAAGATATTGGGAAATGATTAAAGAAAAAAAAATTAAAAAGATTTAAGAAAAGAACAAAAGAAAAACCGTTGAGTTTGTGTAAAAATAACATAAACCAAATGACAAGCAATAGGGTTGTCCTTCCAAATTTTAGATGATGATAGCCATGACTTTTATTTGTTGGCTAATTATCGTTTTCTATGCTCTTGACTTATGTGTCATTCAAATTGCACATATTTTCTCCCCTATTATTATCACTCAAAATACTGTTAATTTGTGGTTTTTCAAACTTTAATTGATTCATAAAAATGACAGCATGGCCAATCAAAATGGAATATACAATCACCTTTCTATTGGTCCATTTATGAGTTGTATATAAATTTTTTTTTTGAGTAATCGATATCAATTCAAATCTATCTCGTAGATAGAATAACATATGTATATATTTTATTATTTTTAAACTCCACTTATAAATTGCATTGCATTGATTATATTATTATCCATGTTTGTTGTTTGATATATGAATTCACGCAACAATTTAAAACCTATTAAATGAAAATTTATTTTTATTAATTATAAATAATATGTTAGTCAATCCTTGAATAAAACAAATTGAAGTAAAATCATCTCACCCTTCTTATTTAATAACACATTGTAAATCTATACAACAAAACTATTGACAAAAAATCTTTTATTCAAATTATTTCAATAATAAATCAATATTGAGATGGGCTAAGCAATTTATAGTGAAGGAAAGGGAATTTGAAGAAGAGAAAAAAAAATGTTTTCTATCACGACTGTTCTCCATTTTCAGGGCGAATACAAATTTTTGCGTGAGAGTGAGGAAACTCTATCTTATCGCACTACAATCTTTGATATTATGTTTTGAATAGTCTAACATATATTTAGCGTCCACTTAATTAACACCTTTATTAAATGATTTATGTATCTTTTAAATTGAAACATCAAAACATGAAAATGATCTATTTATATTTTTTTAGAATATAAGGGAAAAAATGTTATTTTCACCACAATATATAACTAGCTTTTCAAAACATTGAGGTGGTATATATATTATCCCATCAAAGGGGAAAAAAGTGGGCAGAGGGTCAATTTCATGAACTTTTCAATTATGTTATTAGCCAAAATAATAACTAGCTCTTCAAAATTAGGACCATATAATAAAATAACTCTTCAAAATGTTGAAGTGGCATACATATATATACTTATAATTAAATTACTTTTTTTATAAAAGAAAAAAAAAAGTAGTGGGGGTCAATATCAAGAATAATTTTCGATAGTATGTTAAAACTTTAATTTGTACTATTACGCAATCAATTTAGGAAAAGTATCTATGTACAGCACACGCATGTACATTTAAAATTATATAAAAAAATGTACATTTAAAATTGTAAAATAGAATATTTATTTTATCATTTTTGCTACGTGGTTATTAAGTGGTATAAGATTTTTCTTTCATGTGATTGATACATTTGCAACAAAACTGAAATTTAATAAAATGGAAGAAAATAATTTTCCTTCATATACATGGTTAGTCCAGATATTATTGGAGGATATTTGTTGTTGAAAGACAAGTTTTTTTAAATTAGAAAAATAGAAATAAGAAAAACGAGTTTCACCAGTGACATTTCAAGTTCATTGTCTCTTTCCCACTCCAACACCTCCAATCCAGTGGGCGAAATCAGGATTTTCACTAAAAAAAAGTTTAAAATATGAAAAACTTAACACATGAACTAGCTGAAAGGGTTCAACATCTACTATATATTCATAAAAAATAGTTCTAACCGTATATAAATAGTACTATAATTTCTGGCGAAAGGGCTCATCTGACCCCCTAACTCCAAGCTGGCTCTGCTCCTTACCCACCCCCCACAACCCACCACTCCATGACCCCGTCTCTCCACTCCCCAGTAGCATTTCCCTAAATTATATATAAATTTTTTGAAATAATACTTTTTATTTACTTGTAAAATACTAAAAATAAACTTAAAAATTCACGATTTCTTCAAGAAAATATTTTGGTTCATGTCAAATGCTTCCTAGATCTCATAATTGAGTAGGTTAGAGAGTGAGAATTAATTAGTGGGTAATTAATTCAAATTACAATATTTTGATTCTCACAAGCATGTTACTATTTGCTCACCATGAGTCTCCTTTAAAGTTTAGTCCAAATATTAAAATTAATTATAGAGTGGGCAAGCGAATCTATAAGTTAAGTAAACAACAATATGTTTCAACTTTCAAGTACATAATTGTCCTTAAAATATAAATATTACCAAATATAATCATTAATTTCAAATCTTAATACTTTTAATACACCTACCAAATATATCTTAGACCTCAATTAACAAGCGTAAGACATGTTTTCCTCCTCAAATAAGTAATGGAAATAAGGCGTGATGTAGTGATTAATGAAATGTTTGAAAATTGAGGTTTTATTTCAGGTTCAACTTTCAGCAGAGACAAAGATACTAGTCGATTTTTCTCCATCTAGCTATTCAAGTCTTGATGGATGGAGAGTTACTAATACATTGTATCGATGGAAGGTAACGAGTACCTTGTAAAATTAGTTGAGATGTACGCAAGCTGATCCAGACACTATAATTTTTATTTTTAAAAAAAGATCTTGATGTGTCACAATCCATGCTTGTTGTGGTTGCAAGTTGCATGCATCTCCCACACACCAAATTGTTCATTGTCTTTCTTGTTATTAATAATTTTTAATAGTACATAGTTTATTATGTATATATTGTGCTCACAAACATAAGCCACAAAGAAGTTGGCTTGAAGAAGGAAGATACCTAACACATTGATGAGAAAAAGAAATACTACATAGAAGAAGAGTACTTATAGAAGAAAGGCAAAATTAAACATGCTTTGCTTCTATAGGTCTTTGCATTGAATATGTACACAAAGACTTTTAATAAAGTTTGTCTATGCTTCTTCTATTTTGACGGGTAAACACTTGAAAGGACGTACGCACCAATGGAAATTCCAAATTTGACGTGTTAGTTATTTCTTCTGTATTCTTATTCGGTGATTGATATTCGTATTAAAGTCTCATTAAATTTGAATTTGCATTTGGAGTACATTTCAAAGGCTTCCTATACCCAAGGCTTGAATCAGTATTATTTGATTGAGAATAAAGAAGTACTAACAGCTCCATCGTTATAGACGTGAAATTATTTCATTTTTATAATTTTTTAAAAGTTGCAGCTTGATAATAGTGCTGACCATAACTAAAACTTTATCATAAACGTCACATTTGTGCCGACTGATGTGACAATTGATTACATAATTTATTTTTCTCAAGTATAATAATTCAAAACTTTATCTTGTGGATTAAAAAAATGTGAAGTTGGAATAAACACAAATTGAACATTGTAATATTCAAACAGTTTGTAAATATAGATGAAAGTTTGATGGTAGTATATGGAAAAGCTACCTTGGTTTTGAAACCAATGGGCTTGGGTTGAAAGTTGAAACAAACAAATTTATTGATCAAAAGAATTCAACATCACTTAGAGTTTCGAGTTTGAGCAAAGATTTTTTGAAAGCGTCGCTCCTAGAAATGACCCTTACAATACGCAAATTAAATTTAATTAGACTACAATATTGCGGTTAAACATAGTACTAGGTTTGCATTAAAGTGCACGTGTATGTTGCTTTGTGGTGAAGATGTGCTTAAGAGACATTGTTGTATAATACATCAAAGAAAGAGACAACTTTTATTTTATTGGGGTTGGATTCTTGATCCTAGGGAATATGTTACTTCTTTCGTTTTCTCCTTGCCTGTTTGCTCCAAAACAACAAATAAAACAAAGATAATTAAAAAAAATAAACCAACAAAAGGTGTTTGTACATACCTTTAGATTCGAAAACCTAGTTCTTTTAAAAAAATTATCTTACACGAATTCAAATTAATCAAATTAAACTACGTGTGTATCTTGAATAGTGGATATCAAAAGAAAAAGAATTGTTAAAGAGACAAAGAGTGGGCTGGTACTAAAATGTTTTGGGCTAAAAGAACCCTCTTGACACTGAAAGAAGAAGCCCATATTGAGGTTACAGCAAGTCCAAATGAATATGGAACTCTATATTTTTCG